GGGATCTAGTAGAAGCTAGGTTCTCTCAATGCTTTAAAACAAAGAGAATGAAAGAAACCAGGAACAAATGCAATTTATTGCTACCCAAAAACTAAGCTAATCATATTCAGTTATAGAGGAAGCAAAAACTACAAATTTTGAGAGATTATCAAAGGAAAAGAAGGGGAGGGAAAAAAAACCCAAAAGAAACAACAAAAAAAAGGAAAAAACCCAAAAAAAAAACAAAAAAAGGAAGAAACAAGGGGCTTGTTAAAGCCCCACAGTTTTCGGGGCCTGGCATATGGGAACTGTACAATTTTTCTGCTATACTGAAAGCTATTCGCGATAGAAATTTAGTGCGCTACGATAGGGGTTGCGATGCAGTTCTGTGTTGCGATGAGGTTCTGGATTGCGATGAAATTCTGGGTTGCGATGAAGTTTTGGGTTGCGATGAGGTTCTGGGTTGCAATGAGGTTGGGTTGCGATGAAGTTGGGATGCGATGAAGTTCTGGGTTGCGATAAGGTTCTGGGTTGCAATGAAGTTCTGGGTTGCGATAAGGTTCTGGGTTGCGATGAAGTTCTGGGTTGCGATGAGGTTTTGGGTTGCGATGAAGTTGCATTGAACTGAAGGTGCGATGAGCTTTTGGGTTGCGATGAGGTTCTGAGTTGCGATGAAGTTCTGGGTTGCGATGAAGTTGGGTTGAACTGAAGGTGCGATGAGCTTCTAGGTTGCGATGAGGTTCTGAGTTGTGATGAGGTTCTAGGTTGCGAGGATGTTGAAAGGAAGGTGGGATTTGGATTTTTGCGCTGTGATGGGATTGAACCAGATTACGATAAAGGTATGGTTCTAGGTGAAGTTTCAAGCGCGATTTGGCCCAAAGGTGGTTTTGAGCGTACAAGGAGGAGATTACTTGCACCAGAGAGTGTTAAAACATGGTTTTGAACTACGCTGGGAAGGTCTATCACGCCCAGCCTTCTTGAGGTGTGATTTTCAATCACCAACCAAACAAAAAACAATCTAAGCTTTAAAGCGTACGACAACTGAGTGCAAATTTGAGCCAAAATGTCTCCCTGCAAAGGTCCCTAAAAGTCCCCAATGAATCGCCAGCTGTGAGCTCCGGGAAGCTCATGGACGGATCAAAGAGTTGGAGTTGCCACCCATTTTTTAGAGGAAATGGGCCTTCATTTTCATATTTGAAAAACTCGATTTAGGCCTTCGATAGTGACTTCATTTTCCATGGGAAAGGCACACAACCAAGAGATTTCGAGTTCTAAGGATTGGGAGAGGGAAGGTGTTAGGCACCCCTCTCTCTAAGTTGCTATAGCAGCCCACTACAGGAGTAATTCAGTTTCAAATTCCGACAAAACACAAACTAACAAGATTGCTCAAAGCTCCTGAAATTTAGCAAAAATGTTCCCAACTTCGCCCAGAATTGATTTGAGGTGATGTTATCGAGTCTTAGGTACTAGTTCCCCTAAGACCATCGCCTCTCTGCCTCTTTTCTCAATCCGGAGGAAGCTGGGAATGCAAGTTTCCCAAGATTTCAAGGCTTTAAGCAACCTGAAACTAAACTAAAAGCAAAGATACGGTGGAATGAGAAGCTTACCTTTCGTGTAGGACCTTGAAACAATCTTTCCAACAGCTGAAATAACTTCAAATGAAACTTGAGCAAGACAGGAGATAGGATGGGTGTTTTTGGTGTTGAAATTGGAAAACAGGGGATGAGGCTTAAGCTTGGCTTCAAGGATTTCGGGGTTTCAAGCAAACTTAATGGAATTGGGCAACTATCTCCCTCCTCTCTCTTTCTTTTTCTAGGGACCTCTCTCAGGTTTCCTTTCCTCTCTTTCTTCATTCCCTCCCCCCCCCCTTTCTCATTTTTCCCCTCTCTCTCAGGTTGCCCTCCTCTTCCAGCTCAGGCTAGGCCTCTATTTATAGAGAAAATGGAGGGAGATGGGTCTGAAATTCGCTCAGCTACAGTGCCTAAGATTCAATAGAGGTTTTTTCACAAAAATAAGTAAAGATTCTTCAAAGAAATAGATGCCCAGTCAAGCCTTCCTGTTTGGTAAAACATTTTCTTCGATTTGGGGGTGGTTTTCACAGGTTTTGTGCATCCAATGGGAGCTTGGGGCGTGCCAGATGTTGCAGTCTCGTATTTGGGGCTGACAGTGGCAGAAAATGTAAATTTGAAGAACTTTTAAATGTGGTTTTGTTTTTTCTTGTTTTTAAGTAGGGAGTTGTTTGGTATTTTGAGCTTTTTAAGCCTACTAGGCTATGTTTCATTGGTCCATGTGTTCTAATGGGTCAAGAATGGGTCTGACATCACCCATCACCCTTTTAAGGCTTCAGGTTGGGCCAAATGACATGGTAATTTAATCTGATGCGTCAAAATGGTATCTTTCTATTTTAACAGTCAAACGGATAGGCTATGTTTCATTGGTCCATGTGTTCTAATGGGTCAAGAATGGGTCTGACATCACCCATCACCCTTTTAAGGCTTCAGGTTGGGCCAAATGACATGGTAATTTAATCTGATGCGTCAAAATGGTATCTTTCTATTTTAACAGTCAAACGGATGAATTATGATTGAAATTTGGCGTGCTGGGCTTTTTTGGGTCTCTAAATACATTGGTGGTGTCTGATTGGTCAAATGGGCTCAGGATGATTGAGATCTATGGATGACAAGTTCAGGTCAACGAGATTTGCTAAAATAAAATCTTTGTTTGATGAAGGATCAAGCGAGGGAATTTTGGGATGAAATTTGGTGGGTTGGCACTTCTGAACGTCCTGAATCTAATGCAAGTAATGGATCTTTGATCAGGGGTATAGATTGATTGATTTAGTTCAAATCATGGTCTTAGCTTATGGCTTTCCAATCAATGAGATAGCCCGAAATGGAATCTTATTTTTTCAATAGTCAAATGGAGGTGTTTGGTCGTGAAATTTGACATGGTAGGTTTTTCTAGGTCTCTGAATATGGTGGTGAGGTCTGATTGATCGTATAAAGTTGGGATAATAGATTATAAGCTCTAATTAATGAGATTTGTTGAAATAGGACCTTGGCTTGATGAGAAGTCAAACGGGTGAATTTTGAATTACAATTTGGTGGGTAGGCATGGATTAAGGTGAAGAGTCAAGCGGATGTTTCTGATTTAAGAAAGATATGGTCGATCTTAGTAATCATTCAGAGCCCTCGGAATGGGATCTTGATGTTTTTGCGATTTATCATTGTAGATTTGTGGTGGAATTTACTAGTTGATTGTTTCATATTGATCTCGAGATGCTGGATATATTGGATTTGATTTTGGGTAGTTGGAATTTAAATATCGCATGGATTTGGGCCCTTAAAAAAGGAAGTTAGTGTGATGAACAATAGATTTTTGGAGTTTAGTCATGAAAATTGACATGTAACCAAGTTATAGTTTTCCAAGTCTAGAAATAGTGTCTGATCAGACGTTGATGTTGATCTCAAGGTTGTTATTTGCCTTGTGGATTGTGTCAAATGAGGGCATTTCGGGTTTTAGAGAGTGTCAAGTCAATCTGGTTGTGTTTCTAAGTTTTCAAGGTCTAAAAAGGGGTACAAAGAGGTAGGGTAAAGGGACCGAGTAAAAATTGGGTGCTAACAACTCCTCTTTTTTCCCCTGAAGACAATCAAAATATTTATTCATTGAAAATTTTAAGAACCATTTACAATAAGCTTACACTCTTCCTTCTGGGTTTGTAACTTTTGGTATATTCTACTCATCGGATTGCCAAGTTGAACTGTTGCATTAATTATTGAAACCTCCTTTAAAGTTTGGTAATTACAAACACCTCCCCTGAACTTTGTGATACAATTGTAATTAAACCCCTTCATTTAGAATCTTTTGAAGAGGCATGTAAATGTCCAAAATACTCATAGGCCTTGTTCGCTTTTCGGTAAGTTACTTTCCTAGGTAAATGCACTTACCCAAGTATTTCCCATGAAAGACTTATCTAGATAAGTGCATTTATCCATGTTCTTTTATTTCCCACGTAAATAAGTTAATGACCATTTTAATCATAATAATCTTATATTAAAAAGGGCATTTTTGTCCCATTCAAGTGTTGGCAACTTTCCCCCTAGGTGGGAAAGTAATTTACCCACCTAGGAGATGGGCATCACTTACCCAAGTAAGTGCCTAAGAAAAACAAACTTTCCCTAGTCCCTACATAAACCTAAAATAAGAAGGGATTCTTTGTCAATGAGAAACAAAATCCCATTGACCAACTTTCCTACCTCTCAAAATCTAGGAAAAGAACCTCCCCATAGAGTTACTTTGATCAAAATGTTTATTCTCCCTGTTTTCTCTACAAATGAATCACTACCGCACACATTTCCAATTTCTTTTCTAAAATTGATTTATTTTTCAAATTTGCCCTTCATATCAATCGCTTAAAGGTAAAGCTACAACCTTAAACTATTTTTTTTTTTGTTTTCATAAAGGTTATCTTGTTTTTTTATAGAAAACCAGCCTCACTAATAATTGAATGGTATTTTGGACATTTTTATGCTCATTTTAGAGGATTCTAATAGAGAGGGTCTACCTGTCAGAAAGTTCAGGAAGATAACTGCAATTACCAAACTTCAGGAGAGGTTTTAGCAATGATCTAAAATTTCAGATGGGAGGTTTCAACAACAATTAACCCAAATATTTTATACCTGGTTTTTTTCGGAACCTCATTTTCTCATTGACACCTCTAATTTAAACCAATGAAAACCGTCCAATGGGAGAAGGAACGAGAAGTTTATTGAAAAATCGGTAATTGGCTGATACAGACCGATACCATGAGCATAGATTTGCGGATAACTGGATATGGATGGAATGACTAAATTTCAGCCACACTCTGCGCCACATGTGGATACTTTAAACCTTAGCAATTATTTATAGTCTAATAATTGGGCCTTTTTAATGAAACGGAGCCTGCCTTTCCAATGTCATCTCTTTCAGGCTTACTGCACTGCACGCACGCACTCTCATTAGATTAGATAATATTTTCCAACTTGATGAGATTGTCACACAATTGCACTGATGAACGTATTTACTTCAATGGTCAGGGACAAGAACACCATAGACCACGCTACTTTCCAATACAAATTTCAAACAATAAGAATAAAAAATAAATAAGTAAAAATAAAACACAAGAACACACAGACCACGCTACTAACTAAACACCCCTAAAAAGGAGGGGGCAAGGAAAAAGAAGAAAAATTAAAAGGAAACATAAAAAAAAAAAAATGAACCGCTTGGAAAAACAAAAAGCAATCTCACCAATCAAACTGCATAAACCAAATATCATTCCTGGGAGACCACACATTTGTTTCATTCCCTTGCACCTTCAAGTTCCCCATTTCCAATACTATTTGAAGGTTAGCACAGGCTATAAATTGCATTATATGCAAGGGATCTACAAACAGTATGCCGCAATGAACTTTACAGGTTTATGCAGCAATAGGAGGATCCTGCATCCAGTAAAATGTTAGCTTAGAAAAAGCAACTTATCCAATAAAAGAAAAAAGAATATGGAATGATCAAAATAAAAAAGAATATGGGGAACAAGGATCAGCTATGAAATAGTGAAAATAAATTCCTAGTTATTAAAATGAAATAAGGGGCTGAAAATTCCTTGAGAACACAAGTTTAATAAAGGTTTCATCCAACAGTTACAATAAATAAACAAATAAAAGCAAAATGCTAAAAAAAAGTCAATGTGAGAAAAGGAAAACCTGCACTTTTACCACAATTTTGGATGGTAGCCATGCATTGTAAATAGCACATCAGGATATGGTCATCCAGATGTATCAAGACCACTAATAGAATTTTTCTCTTGACAATTTGCCAACAGTCAAATTACAGCAAGCCAGAAAATTAAGATCATACAAGGGGAAGATCATAGAAAATGTGCACTCCAGATCTGCTACAAACAAAGGTGTACAACGGGCTACTTAAGTACTTAACCAAACAAGAATGAACACACCAGTTGATTGGTTACATAACCCATTCTACACACCTTTGTTTGTAGCAGATTCCAGCCTGAAAATGTGATCTTAAGTGGTAAAAAACATAGCTCTTGATAAAACAAAATGGAGGCACTGGATTTGTTCAGTTCTCTTTTTCTCTTTTTCCTTCCCCAGTTTTTAACCACATTTGCATCAGTTCAGGCCCTTCTGTTGTCATTAGCAATAATCGTTTCAGGCTCTCCACACTTTTCAGAAATGACTCTTACAAGGATGTAAATAAGGCCATGAAGTTATTGGGACCTACCTTCGCAGTCAAATTTGACACAGCTAGCTGAAACTTTTCTCTAGTTTTTGTACCTGCTACTTGCCCAACCCTTGCCACCTTACTGAAAGCTCCATTTAGCCAAGCTGCTCCTGCAGTTACATACCTGTCCAGGCATAAGCAGATTTATTCTTAACCAACTAACACACCAATTCGGAATTCAGTTCAGTAACTTGGTGTAACTTGATAAGATGGAATCAACTTAGGTCACTTCACAATTACAGCACTATTGAGCAATGGTTACTATCAGCTATTCCATCAAGTATCAAAAAATGAGTAGATTGGAAAGAGTTGATTGCAAGGAAACATAAATATCATTTTCCTCTTCTTTTTTTTATTTACAACAAATTCTCCAACATGAATCATTTCCCTTTGGCCCTTGATAATGGTACTATGTCCCATCAAACACTGCCAAAAGAACAGTAGAAAGGAAAGTTGGTAAGATGATAGGGTCCATAATACAATGCGGTGGTAAAGTGAAATCATGCTCTACAAGATAGATAAAGTAAATGTGGAAGGGTAAAGAAATCAACCTGCATCAATCTTAATTATTTCTATACTGCACCTCTACTCTAGTGCCAAGTGAGACTGATGGGGATCAACCTGCACCAACCTATGCTCATTTGGCATCATTACGAAGACATAGGGCCCACATGAGAGCTGGGTTAGTAGTGGATCAACTTGGAAAAACCCTAGAGTCTTCAATCAACCTTAAGGTGCTCTTTGTGTGGTTGAGTTTGTTGCTGGATAGGACTTATTTAGTTTTCTTACATTTCTGGACAGAGGATATTTTTGTAATTTTGCATGTCTGGGGGGGGTTATGTTTGGGAACAGGTACTAATTTAGTAATTTCCCTTTGTTTGGCTTAATGTCTGTAATTGTTTGGGGCAAGTTTAGTCTAATCTAACCTCTTTTTGGTAAGTAGCTTGTTGGGCAAGCTAACTTCGGGGGGCAAGTTTCTTCCTTTGGAAGCTTCTTCTCATTAAGCTTGTAAAGCTCATTTGGAGAATAGTTTTGGCTGATGAACAAAGAGTTTCTCCACAGAACTTGGTGTGATTGCCAAGTTGGGGGTGTTATTGCCCTCACCCTTAGGTGTGATTGCCTAGGGTTTTCATTTATTTCCATCTCTTCTATTCTTTCTAGTTTCTACATTAGTTCTTTATTTGTGCTACACACTTAGACATAAGTCGGTTACAAGAATACTGCTGAATCACAAAGATCCTGCATCAGTTTGGTATCAGAGCAAGGATCAGAACTATGACAACTCGTAGTGGGAAGAACTTTAGAGGGAGATTGACTGATAGGCAACGGGATGATTTCGTTTACATGATCATGAAAAGGGTTGATGAATTGGAGGCTCAAGTCAAGGAGTAACAGCAAGGTTCTTAACAGCCACAAGTTAATGGTGCAAATACCACTAGAGAGGCTTCTTCTAGTATCCCAAGGAATGGTGGGGAACCCATGGCTGAAGCTGAAACAAGGAGGGAGAGGGTTTCAGCATCACCGATGCTAAGCCCACGACCAATGCAGTTGTACAAGAGGCCTGAACCACAAGTCCATGATCCACAAGATTTGCAAGATAATGATGTGGATGCTTCCCTTGTGAATGTGGTGAGACAAATACTTTCTGTTCCAAAGAAAGAGGAGAATTGGAGGCGGGCTACTATTTTTCAAACATTGGTTAGGTGTGGAAATCAAGCTAAAAAGCTTATTATTGATGGTGGTAGCTGCATGAATGTGGTGTCTGAATCAACTGTTGAGTGCTTGAAGTTTCCAACAAAACCACATCCTCACCCATACAAAGTTGCTTGGATCGATAACACCTCCCTTCTAATAACTAAATGGTGTCTGGTCTCTTTTTTCTATTCATCAATATTTAGATCCTATTTGGTGTGATGTTATTCCCATGAATGCTACTCACCTTTTACTTGGACGACCTTGGTTATATGATCAGGATGTATGCTGTGAAGATATATCTTGATATACACTATTAGAGTAGTCCTTGTTGTACAGTACCGTATTCTTATTCTTTTATTTGTTCTTTTTATCTTTCAGCCCTGTAAGGGAATTCTTGTAACTGTACATATCTTTTATCTCTTTAATAAAAGAGACTCTTTGGGGTGGGGTCGACTATTCTAGACACCCCTAAATCTGTTTTCTTCTTGCTCTCAATTCAGTTCACATGGTATCAGAACAGGTTGCCCTTTGATCTTCCTTCTCTCTGATCCACCTTATTTTTGTGATCTATTGAGAACCTACATCTCTGCGGAGTGGTCATGGACTGTTTTGATCTCTCCAGGAACCCCTTTTCTGTTTTTTGCACATCCAGAGAGAGATTTTATTGGACCTCTCTCGTTTGACTTCCGTTTGCAGCAAGATTTGAAAGGACTTGCCGCCTAGCCCTTCTCAACATACTCTGCAATTTTTACGGAGATCCATGAAGTTTTGAGAGAGATCTGGACTCTTCTTCTAAGCGGCTGCGCCCAGACTTTCCTTTTCTAGAATGTGTGTTCAGTTTTCCTTTGTTTTGGATTTTGAACAATCTCCGGTGAAAGTAAGGGGTTTCTATCTCAGTTTTTTTACTCTTTTGGATTGATTACAGCCTATTTTACTCGTTTTTGGATCAAGTTTTACTTTAGTTTAGTTCCTTTAAACTTCAGCTGAACCCTATTTTGTGCTACTTTCTTGCTGTAATGGCTTCAAACAGAGGTGATGTTCATTCCTGTGAAGATGAATGGACAGAACTATGGGATGTGGAAGTTCCACTTCGACTTTTATGTTAAAGGAAAGGGTTTAGAAGGATATCTTAATGGAACAGTCACCGAACCAGCTGAGACTGAGGCCAAGGCTTTATAACAATGGAAGTTGGATAATAGTAAACTTGTTTCTTGGATTCTAAGTTCTATTGACTATCATATATCTGTACCCATGAGGAGAATGAAAACAGCATATGAAATGTACATGTATCTAGAAAAAGTTTATCAACAGTCCAACATATCTAAACAATATCAAATAGAATCAAAAATATTTTCTTACAGCCAAGGAAGCACTTTGAGAAATATCTTCGGAAGCACTTTGAGAAGAGAAAGGTGACTCAGTTCTTGATGAGACTTAGACCTGAATATGAGATAATTAGGTTCAACATTCTGAGTAGGGGAACACTTCCAGATATGGATTCTGTTTTAGGGGAACTTCTGAGGGAAGAGACTAGACTTCTCACTACAACCGGGTTTGATGGGAAGATGGCTGAAGTTGGGGCTAAAACAGCCTTTATTGCTCATGGGGGGTAAGAAGCCAACCTCCAAGGACTTCTCCAAAACCCAGACTACCCAGTGCTACGAGTGTAAGGATTTTGGACATATTGCATCTCACTGTAAGAAGAAGAATGTGTGTACCTATTGCAAGCAACATGGTCGCATCATTCCAGACTGTCCAGTCTTACCAGCTAAGGGCTCTCAGAAAAAGACTCAGCCCCGGGCCTATCGGGCAACAAATGGACAAGCAACAGACACTATATCTACCAAGGGTGAGTTTTCAGTGAAAGGTGATTCAACAGGTGTCATGGATGAAGAAAGGGTTCGGCAACTGGCATCTTCTGCTATTTCCTCTGCTTTCTCTTCTATTGGCTTGTCTGGTAAGTTCTCTGCATATTGTTCTTCCCCTTCACATGCTTAGATTATAGATTCAGGTGCCACCAACCATATGACAGGAGCCTACCTCAATCACCCAATCCCTTCCACTAAAACTCACCAAAAACAATATTATTACTGCTAATGGTGAAAAGTTAGACATCATTGGTAATAATGATTTGTCCCTTCAACTGTCACCAACTAGATCCTTCCCTCTCTCCAAAACCCTCTTAGTACCTAACCTTACTACTAATTTGATTTCTGTTGGCCAACTTGTTGATGAAGGAAATGTTCTCACTTTTTCTCATGATGATTGCTTGATACAGGACCGGTACACTAGGAAGGTGAAAGGGAAGGGGCGTAGGTTAGGCCGTATGTTTGCACTAGAGTTCGAGAAATCTCAATCAAGGGCATCCTCAGCTTTACTTAGTTCTTCTTTGTTGATTCTATGTTGAGTTATAGAAATAATGTTTGGGATTTATAGCATAAACGATTGGGTCATCCATATTCCAAAAAATTAAAATTTTTGTTTGACTCTAGTTTGATTAAGAATAAAATTCCTCTTGTTCATACTTTTGATGTTTCTTGCACTATGTGTTGTTTGAGTAAAAGTCATGTTTTACCATTTCTTCATACATCTGAACATGCCACTAAACCTTTTGAGATAATACACAGTGATGTTTGGTCTGCTTCTATTACTTCACGATTGGGGTATAGATATTTTGTATTATTTATAGATGATTGTACCAGATATACTTTGATCTATTTTCTACGACACAAATCAGAAGTCTTTGGTGCATTTAAATTGTTTCATACTATGGTGCAAAATCAATTCAAGTGCAATGTGACTATCCTCCACTCAGATCAGGGGGGGAATATAGAGATGGAGACTTCCTGGCATACTTGAGGAGTTATGGAATTCAGTCTCAACGTAGCTACCCAAACACTCCACAACAGAATGGTGTGGCTGAACGGAAGAATGGACATATTCTCAGTGTTATGCGGACATTTCTACAGGTGTCTCATGCTCCAACTTCGTTTTGGGTAGAAGCAGCCAGTACAACCGTGTATTTGATCAACTTTCTTCCATCCTATGTTCTTGGCAACACTTCTCCTTTCCAAAAACTTTTTGGTTATCCCCTAGATTTCTCTATCCTTCATGCTTTTGGTTGTCTTTGTTTTGTTCATCTTCCTGTTCGTGAACGATCTAAATTAACTGCTCAGTCTGCTATGTGTGCCTTTGTGGGATATAGTCCTGACCACAAAGGATTTTTGTGCTATGATCCTGCTATTCGTCATATTCGGATTTCTCGGAATGTTGTGTTTCTTGAACATATCTCCTTTGCTGGGGTTGCTAGATTGTTTGCTCCTTCCATCTCTGTTTTGCAGGACTTTGATTCAAATGACACTACTACTTCCTCAACTGAGAGAGATCTTCTTGTCTTCACCCGCAAGCGGCTACGTGTCCCGTCTCCCA